ATGGTTAAGAAAATTAAGTTCTTCAGGAAATTGTTTACCTTAATTTTTTTTTTTTTTTTTTTTTTTGAATTACTCATTGGTGAGGATGATTTGAAATAGTGCTTGTATTAGAGCTTTCTTGTTTCTCAGGACGAACTTGTTTGTAGAATAGTAAATGTGTCAATACTTATCTTATCCGGTTAAAACCATATTTAATTAATCTAAGAAAAAAAAATTAAATAAATAAAATTGTTATGTGCAATAATAGTATTTAAATGATTATATTGAGTGCAATATTAAGCAATATTTTTGTTGTATTGATGAATTCTGTGTGAAGTAGAAAGTGTAAGCTTTGTTAAATTTTTTTTATTATTTTTTCCCCGGGGAGGGTAGTGTTTCTTAAATTTATAGTTTATTTTGGTATGTTTTACCAGATTTGCAATTAAATTTAATAGTAATTACAAGGATGTAAAATGTGTAAAACAATAGTTCAAATTTTGTTGAATATACTTTGATATTTTTTTTAACTAATGGATATATATATATATATATTTATAATTGGCATTAATAGTTAAATAAATAAGTTTTTCTAGATCATTCACAAAGGTTAAATTTTTGTGTGTGTGCTCATGATTTTCTCCCTTCTCATTCTCAAGTTGATTTCAGGGTTAATCCGAAAACACAACGCAAATGTACAGGGCTTATTGATATTAATATATTTATGTTAAAAAATTTTAAGTGTTATGTCAACAGAGTAGGAAACCATATTGATTTTTCTATAACAATTATTGGTATCATGATTTTTTTTTTCTATAACATATTGGTGCCATTTGGGATTTCACATAACATTATTGGTGCTGTGAACTTTCGAACCAAATTTTTAGCACTTAACAATTTTGTTGTGCTGTTTATTTTCGCATCACTTTTGGCTTGTGCTTATAGTGGAACTTAATTTTGACTTGAGACTGGTGATTGTCATGTGCACTATTGCATATTTATGTGAAAGTTTTCTTCCACATGTCTAGGCTTTTTACTGAAACCCTACTCGTTAGTTAGTTACAGTGACAGGCCTATACAGTGGTCGTATTACTGTGCTTATTTTATACTTATTGTTTGAGGTTGCATACCAGATATGTACTACTGATACACATTTGGACTTTAAAACTATTGTATCCAACACAAACATTTTCACGCAGTACCTGTTTAGTTAAGTATTTTGTTTTGTGCAAAATTTTGTATTGCATTTTACATATTGATTTTGAGGATTACTGTTTCACACACTTTTGCAACTGTATGTTTGCAACATAAGGTTAAAAGGCACGCGTGTTAATCACACATTGGGATACATCCCTACTTTATGTGCTGGAAATTGCTGATCGCAGTTTAAAATGCCAAAGAAAGTGTCAAAACGAGCAGCCAGAGCGGCTAGTAATAGTGCAATAGACTGGGAGGAGAGTCAAGAAGTAATGGCTCTATCAGTTTTTGGTTCTGATCCTCTGGATTCTGTTCCTCTGTTCTCAGGTGCAGACAAGGGAATTAGTCTGAATGACTTCTTAGATAGGATTGATCTCATTGCCACTCATGTGGGTTGGTCAGATGAAGATAAGTTAACAGTGATCAGAGTCAAGGTGGCAGGTGAGGCTGCAGAATTAATTAGGAATAATCCTAGGTTAAAGAAAGAAGCCAGTCTTGACTATGTTGTGAAAGCGTTGAAAGAGAGGTTCAGTTCAGTGCACAATTTGCACTCTAACATCCGTGCTCTTATTCAGGCTTTTCAGAAACCACACGAGTCAGTGCGACAATTTGCAGCACGTATAGAGGCTCTTTCGTACAAAACTGTACCAGTGGAAAGAAGCAGTGACCCTGCAGCAGAAGCACAGAGGACAGGATTTACTTCTGTCAGTGTTTATCGAAGGATTGCAGTTGCATTTGCGACGCTTGTTGCTGCCACAGAATCACAAAACTTTTGCATCTGCTAAACAGCATGCAATTATTGAGGAAGACATGTGGGCTAAGAGCCATGCTAGTAGTGATTTTGCAACAGCTGAGGTTAGAGCAGTGAATGCTGCTAAGCCAGCAGTTGAGAAGGCAGTTACACCGCCATCAGTAACCAACTCAGAACTCACTACAGCTATTAAGATGCAGCAGGAAAATATAGCTCAGCTTACAAAAATGATGGGCTCTCTCCAAACACAGGTGCAGAGTTTATTATCACAAGGTTATAATTGAACTGATACTGTCTTAATTGAACCTTTAATAGAACATGCTCAAAGTCAATTTTCCATAGCCAGGTCAGTTAATCAGACTTCTTCATCTAACGAATTTTATGTCAAAATTGCAAATTTTTCACCGAATACACTACATCTCAATAAAGGAATGAAATTGGCCAGTGCCCAACCTGTGAATGTCATCACACATAACTCTGAACTTGTAAACAACACCACCATAGAAACAGGGGAGGATTTCGAGTCTTGGGGTGGTGAATTTGATCTTACACATTTACCTGAGCAGCAACAACAACATTTATCACACCTTCTCAATCAGTATAGTAACATCTTTGCTGCCTCAGTCACTGAGTTAACAGGGTGTGACACCATCTTACACAACATCAACTTGCGTGATAATATTCCTGTTAGGCAAAAGCCTTACAAAGTACCTTACCATCTCAGGGATGAATTAGATAGACAGGTCGCAGAGCTGCTTGAAGCCAACATCATTCAAGAAAGTGACAGCCCTTACAGTGCTCCTGTTTTATTTGTTAAGAAAGCGGATAACACCTACCGTTTAGTCACTGACTTCCGCAAGTTGAATGAGAAAACGATAGAAGACAGTTTTCCTCTGCCTTCCATGATTGAATTGATAGAACAGTTAGGAGATTCGAATTATTTTTCCACACTTGATTTAACTTCAGGGTTTTTCCAGATGAAAATTCATCCTGATGACACCTTCAAAAGTGGTTTCTCGACTCCTTCTGGGCACTATGAGTGGTTACGAACACCTTTTGGCATGCGAAATGCTCCTAGTTCCTTTCAAAGGTTGATGTCTATAGTTTTGGCCAATCTTTCACCATTAAAAATAGGGATTTACATTGATGATATTGTCATTGCTTCTAAAACTTTTGATGAACCTTTGGAAAAATTGAAGTTAGTTTTTGATAGACTAAAACAGCATAATTTAAAACTTAAACCTTCTAAATGTCATTTTCTGAAAGAACAAATTACGTATTTGGGATATAAAGTTACCAAGGGTATTATACAGCCTGATGATAAAAATTTAAAGACCATTCGGAGTTTTATTGCACCTAAAAATAGGAAAGAAGTTAGGCGATTTTTTAGGCCTTATTGGCTTTTACAGAAGGTTCATTCCAAATTTTGCCCAAAAGGCACTTCCTTTAACTCAGCTCACTAAAGATAAAGTTCCATTTTATTGGTCACATGAAGCTCAGCATGCTTTTGATATTCTAAAAGCTGAACTTCTGAATGAACCCATTTTGGCTTTACCTAATTTTCTTAAACCTTTTTCCTTGTGTACAGATGCTTCTAATTATGCATTGGGTGCTGTCTTGTGTCAAGAAGATTCTAACGGTTTCCAACATCCAATTTGTTATGCTAGTAGAAAATTAAAAGGTCCTGAAACACGTTACAGTACTGTAGAGAGGGAAATTTTGGCAGTTGTTTGGGCCACAGCACATTTTAGACAATATCTTCTTGGTAAACCATTTACTGTATATTCTGATCAAGCTTCATTATCTCATGTTTTAAAACTTAAAGATCCCACTTCTCGAATTGCACGTTGGATTATGGGTTTATCCCAGTTTGATTATAAGATTGTTCACAAACCAGGTAGATTAAATTTAACAGCAGACTATTTATCTAGAGCAGTAAATGTTACACAGTTAATTCAAACTTCCATTACGCCTGAATTGTTAGATTTATTCAAAAAAGAACAGGCTTCTGATCCTTCTTGCCAACAGATTGTAACTGATCTTAAGAATAATAAGTCTCCTACACCTAATTCTCAGATATTTTTTGTAAAGGAAGATGTTTTGTATTGCAAATACAAGAAACCCAAGTCACGTTGGCAGGAACAAGATAGACTAGTTGTTCCTAAAACACTAGTATTAAGAATTTTGCAGGAGCATCATGATTCTCTTACTGCTGCACACTCAGGCTATCACAGGACACTTCATAGAGTTCAAAAGTCTTTTTTCTGGAAGGGTATGCATAAACAGGTGCACAATTACATTAAGTCCTGTCACTCCTGTATCCAGAGGAGGGGTCATAGTGTTTCTTAAATTTATAGTTTATTTTGGTATGTTTTACCAGATTTGCAATATTAAATTTAATAGTAATTACAAGGATGTAAAATGTGTAAAACAATAGTTCAAATTTTGTTGATATACTTTGATATTTTTTTTTAACTAATGGATATATATATATTTATAATTGGCATTAATAGTTAAATAAATAAGTTTTTCTAGATCATTCACAAAGGTTAAATTTTTGTGTGTGTGCTCATGATTTTCACCCTTCTCATTCTCAAGTTGATTTCAGGGTTAATCCGAAAACACAACGCAAATGTACAGGGCTTATTGATATTAATATATTTATGTTAAAAAATTTTAAGTGTTATGTCAACAGAGTAAGAAACCATATTGATTTTTCTATAACAATTATTGGTATCATGATTTTTTTTTTCTATAACATATTGGTGCCATTTGGGATTTCACATAACACGCTAGACGCGAATTCGAGAGGCCCGTGGTTCGAGTCCCGCCGAAGGCGTTGCTCATTTTTCATCTCTCCTGCTTTCAAAAATACCTAATGTCTCTACTACCGAACCAACTTCTATGAAATCTTCTATCGTGAATTTGATATTTTGTGTTTGTAGAAAAAGTGTGCTGAAAAGTATTTGATTCACTGCCCATAAACAGTAAAGCCGACCTTAGACTTCTTTACCCAATCATTACTGATTTCATTAACCAACTATTGCATTGTAACTATTCATAATTTATTTTACAGGTTACTACAGGGACAACATAGGTTCCTACGACGGATTATTTTACATTATTGGACTGTCAACGGTAGCATCAAGTCCCCTCTGGCTTCTAGAACCCATTTTCTCGAGAGCCCACCTTCGAGAGGAAGGATAACGAAAGATAGTAAAAGAAATGAAGAAAGTTCATATAAAAAAAAAAAAAAAAAAACATATTTCAAATGCAATCTGCGTTCTGGCAAAGAAATTCCTGAAAACCAAGGTCAAAGTCTTCATCGAGTGTCACACACCAAACGTATTTTAGTCAGTTAATAGTACGGTACAACATTTTCTGTGAGATTGCTATAATGTCTTCTTTTCAGAATGGCGATTTCCAAGAATTTCTTATGTTTTCATTGGAAATTACCAGATTTTTTCTATTTTTCGGACGTTTATGTTAAGTCATTAAAATGGGCTAAAACAACTCCCGTTTGGTACAGGAGTTAAAATATTTCCAGATGCATAGTGGATGAATATTTTTATAGGAACCCAGTTTTTGAAGAAACTATTAAACTAAATGATTAAGCTGCACTTTTCAAAGCGGAACTTATAGCATTTAGAACAGCTGCTATTTGGTCTGTTTTTTACTAAGTACATTTAATTATAAAATAACTTTCTGTATACACACCGATTTTAAAAGCATTTTCAAAACAAATGGCTTCATATAAATTTCATTCTTATAGAACTTTAGCAGAGCTGAAATATTGAATACTCTCAGTTAAAAATTCAGATTTTCTGGGTAAAAAATTATCCGAGTATTTTGGGTAACGAAATGGCTAATGCTGCAGTTAAAGGAGCCACTTTGAAGAAAAGCTCTAAGACTCTAACTTCCATAGAATTTACCAAAACACTTTAAAGCAATGAAATTATGCAAAATTTGGCAATATCGGTAAGAAAATAATCTCACGAAAACAAATGCAAAAGATTTTTGCCTAAGGAAAATTTTAAATCTTGAAGTGTAAAAAACCTTTGAACTAAATTCTTACAAGACACAGGTAAATTTCTAGCTTGCGATGTTTTTATGATAAAAGCATTTGTGGTAGAAAAACTTAAAAGCAGATAGAACGGAAATGTTCAACACCAGCAAAAGTTAGAAGAGACTATATTGGAAATACTTGTATTAAAAATGAGTTCCATTTATGAAAAACATGCAGTGGGAGCAATTACTGAATGATGATCATGTATTATAAGAGCATTAATTAATGAACTCTTTGTTTATAATCGTAAATTCCTTTGTAAAAATACTGAATAATGTGTTATATCTACTAAAAAGGTCTTATAGGAAATTTAAGATCTAGTAACTGAAACAGAATTTCTGAATCGTAATCGGTTCACTGTAACCATAACTCGATAGAATAATATTTATAGTTATTTATATATGTTGCAATTGTATGCATATTTTCACTAATTTTGTTTTAAATTGTAATACAATAATGCATATGTTACGGGCAAAGTATGAAAAACAGGCATTCTATAGAATGCCTAGAGTTTTTAGGGAAAGCAGAAAATATGAAAATTGTTGTATACTTTACCTAGCCATTCTAAAGAATGACAAATGTTCTCCAGACAAAGTATGAAAAAAAAGGTAATGATAAGGCCGTTACCTAAAAGGCATTCATTCCTCAAAAATACAAATGTCATTTTGAAAAAATAATAAAAAAGGACGATTAAAAATTTCTATTCAAAATAAAGAAAAAAGTTGCGCGAAACAAAAATTATGCCTTTCTTATTAAAGAATACAAAATTTTCGTATAAAAAATAAGAATTTAAAATTAACCTATTTCTTGCAACAGGGTAGGCTTGAGTGACATTTTGTAGTCACTTCACTGCTTTTTTCGCACAAAGACATTTCATACTTCGGCACTATGTTTAACATATACACTTGACGAATTTTTGGCTACTTCCATTGGATTGAGCAACTGCAACTGACCAGGGAAGAATTTCGTGGCCAGAAATATCTTCAATTCTAAGCAAGGTCTTAGAACATAAAACGAACTGTTATCTCGTATATAGTTTTTTTTTTTTTTTTTTTTTTTTTTTTTTTTTTTTTAATTACTTGAAAAATTCCAAGTCGGTAGGAACTATCCTCTGTCACACTCATTACAACTTCCAATATATTGCTCGAATTATTTCATATTTTGCCGTTGTTTCATTTTGCATTTTACATAATTCCTAGGCAATGTGTGAAGTACGAGTATTTAATCGTTTAATACATTGCCAGCCAGTTTTCGGCATTCTACGTATTCTATAGAACGCCGGATTTCATACTTTGCCGGTGAGGCGTATATATACTATAGCGAAATAATATCTAAGTTTGTAATAAATGCATATTTATTTATTTATGAATATTGTGTAATTATGTTACAGAATATAATTTCGTTCATTATTATTCAATATGCCCATTATTTTCGCAAACGTTTATCACAGATATATATATATATATATACTCGCTGCCAAACTTTAAACACGGAATGCAAATTAGCAATTTTCTTACGAGAAAATTCCGTGTTCCGTCCGCTTATAAGCGCAGTTGAATTTGAGTGGCTAAAAATCACTGAAAATGCTCATGGCACTATGCAAATATCGTATGTTGCACTCAGTCGCGGTTGTCTGTGTGAATACTGTCGTTGAAGACGCCAGCATTCTGAAGGGTTTGAGAAGGTTTATTTAAATGCTGATGCAAAGTGCTTATTAACTTTCGTAGGACAATTTTGGTTAATTCCAGATATATTTTATTGTTTATACCTTCACAGCATCTTCAGCTCGACAACATAATTTCGCACAACACGAAATGTCTGAAACGTTGAACAATTGTCCGGATATAACACTGATATTTAGCTCAATGAAGCAAGAACTTCCCCATAATCAGAACAATTTTTAGAGAACTCAATGTAGACCACAAAATGATTTGTTTGGGAAAGAAAAATCTGGATTTCTATTTTAACTGAGTTTCGAACTTAGCAAATGCACAGCGAGGTTAAATCACCTAAAGAATTTTAGATGTATCACCTTTTGAGTATACTGCAGAACTTAAATAACAAAAGCGTGCTCCTTAAGTAGCACATTTTTAAGAAAGGGTAGTTCGACAAGGAAATTGTTCGTCTACAATGGCAGGTGATAGAGGTCGGTTTTATACATTTTAGGAAAACAAATATCTTTCATGTTATAGAAATCTAGGAATAGGGTAATTAGAAATTCGATCTTCCAACTCAGATTTTGGAATAGGATTACTTTATAAAGTATTTTTGTGGAATTTCTAAATAAAAATAGTATAAATGATTTTAATTCAAATATAATCTAACAATTGTGATAGAAATTAAAAACAACATAAAAGATTCGAAACTAGAGAATTTATACGGTACTAGCAGAAAAATTTCATATTCGCTAAATCTTATATGAAACCTCTAAAATTCGAGAAAATTCGCTCAGTGATTAAATTAATGCTGCCCTAATTATAGTCATTGATAGACTGAAAAAATGTGCAAAACTAAGTAACTCTCGAGGGAAACTTACAGTACTCCCGCCTGTACAAGAATACAGGAACACGAGCGCTGATATCAAGCAACAAAAAAATTATTGGAGCAATAGAACCAAACGTCCCAACATATGCCGCTTCCAGATGTATAACTAAGGATTATTTACTAAGAAGTGAATGTTTACTGAATGGCAACAAGTCCGGGACACAGCGACGAATGTTGCCCAATCGGTCGCCGCTTTATCAGATATCACAGATCACCATCGACAGACAGACTTATATCATCGATAAGCAAGTGACCGTTGTTTATCGATTGCAAAGTTTTCAAATAAATAAAATTCAATGATTCTTTTCCTCATGTACTCTACCATATGTAATTATTAATTTAAATCGTACATATACAATCACTAGATTATAATATCTATTTTATAACATTGCATTATTTCTACTTAGACAACAATACAGACATATATAAACTTTCATTATTTTTTACACTCATTGCATGCACAATTCCTGTTTTTCATTAACAAGCAAACTGAACTAAGCATATCAATACTTTTGATCATGTATCAGCAATATGAACCAGTTTCGGTTTATTAAAACTTTTATAAAGTTCTCACGATGAATTAATTCGAAAAATGGAAACAATTGATTATGTCCCGCATAAAACGTAAATGAAGACGAGACTTCGTAATCGATTACAGGTGCAAAATATATCAGCTATTCGCTGTCGATGGTGAAAGGACAGTCTGAGATCTTGCTTTATTTTTAAAAGACTAAAATTAAAGAAATTAGTTTCTTATTTGTGTAAAATAAAATTCATAGCCTACTTCTGCGTACTAAAAGAGTTGGATGCATGCACCTTTAATCTATTTTTAGAAAAGAAAACATGTTAAGCAATGACTCGCAGAGTAAACAAAGAACAGTAATCGTACGTGGTGCGTAACTTTTCTATTTATATTTATACATTATCTATTTTCCAAAACATGTGAAAAGCCATATTACTGAAAATCCTCCTGTCTTCATTAAGTACGAATTATTTATCAATGACCTGGACATTCTATCTCTTTGTATCACTTAAATTAATGGAAAAATTAAAAAATATCAGTAAATTAAAATCACATTTAAAGTAGTTCGGATAACTAGAATCGTAGTAACTGGAGTTTCGCTATATTTTAAAAGCCTGTCGGAATAGGTAACGCCATCTCTTGGTATTGCAATGAAGTATTTAAAATTAAGAGGCTTATATGCAAGTATTGCCATCTATTGGCGGTGAAAAGAAGCTAATGATACTGTGTCAAAAAATCATACGAATCTTTAAAAGTGTCTTGTCTATATTTCAAAGATTCTGCTGTTAAAAAAAATTCACTGATGTGCGATCAGATAAATATACCTGGTACACATCCATCTTGATGTTGATTCATGGAAAGTACAAAGCAAATTCAATTAGTTAAAATAACAATACGAATTCAAGTTAAAATTACAATACGAATAGAAGTTCACTTCTTGGAATTAAATTTTTGGAAATATTTACTATATCATGTGCAATTTAGATATTCATAATACATGCTGAAAATCAAATTTATATCACTGTTATATTTTAGCCTTTAAAAAAAATAAGAATTAAATCTCTCTTAATTCAGCAAGAATGGAATTTTTAACTTACCGTATTACTTCGAATTCAAGCCGCATTATCTGTTTATATTTTCAATACGTAAAATTAGTGTGCAGCTAAAACTTCAAAGCACACATTTTAACATCTTGTATTGAAGAAGTTTTTAAATAAATTACATAATTTATTAGATTTACATTACAACCTACTTTAGGAAGTAAAAAAATGTTTCTTATTCTTCAGTTCTAAAATTAAATCTTTTTCATTTCTTATTATTTTTGCAATTTCCCAATTTTATAATCGTATTAGGCTTAAATTCAAAAGAGATTATTTTTTTAGTGTTTTTTTTTTTTTTTTTTTTTTTTTTTTTTTTTTAATCCTTTTGAGACTTAAATTAGAAATAATGCGACAATTCTTTAGCCAAAATTAAATTTAGTATTAGAAGGGACATTTCAAACATTGTCCGTTTCCTTTATATGCAGCCATCATTTTTAATTATAGATGAATTTTCCACTTTTATTATTCAGCTTTCCTATTCAATAAAAATTTGCTAACCCTCTAAAATTATCATATTAGAAATAAATACTTAGCTGCAGTTTGATTCTGGTCTAAACCGTATTCTGTCAGTGTAGTAAATATTCTAATAAATATGATAGGTTCTTAAGTTCTTTGAAATTTAAAAAACACTTTTTATAATACTCCAAAGATGTGGTTAAGCACATCGTTTCACTGTTTGAATAGAAATAATATTTTTATCAATCACCAATGATCTTATTGTAATTTTGATATTTTGCTTTTCAAAAAAAATAGTATACTTTTTTATACAATAATAATAGGCTTTTTTAATACAAGTGTTATTGCTGCTTACATCAAAATAAAGCATAAAAGCGCTGAAATTAAATCTCTCTTTCAGAGTCTAGGATAAATAGTAAATGTGAATATGTGTTTATTTTTCGAAGCAATGACATATTAGGCAGATTATTCTGGGTCATATTAATTTTTAAATGATGCATTCTAAATTATAGTAATCAATACAGCTGATGGTCGAAATTCACAATATTTGCTCCAGTCTCTGGCATAGCAGTTGTTAAATAAGTAAGGCTTCTAACCTCCAGGGTTCAAATCCAAGAGATGAGGCTGATTTCAATGGGTATTTTAGTGGCTTTGCTCATGTATAATATAAATAAGACCTAATTTCCTTTAAAAAGTTTTCAACGAAGGCATCTTTTCCGTTAAGCAGACAACCCTACATAATTTCTGTTATATAAGAATCCGTTAAGCAGACAACCCTACATAATTTCTGTTATATAAGAAGACGATATTTTTTTTTATATAAAACAAATTACAAGGCTGAAACAAAACTTTATTAATAATATTACATCAAAAGCCTTTTTGTCAGCTTTCAAGTCTAAATATTTGTGATACATTGAATTTCTGAATATTCGTAAACGTATTATATGCTCCAAAACATGGGCACTTGAGGAAAATACAGAGCTTTTTGATTCATTTGAAAAAAATGGCAGGAAGATTTAGTACCTAAAAGATTTAATGTTAATTCACAACTGTAAAAACCTGAGGCATATGTCCTGAAGCAAAAATAATCTATCAGTGATGATGTAACCACGTCGAACTTGCTAAAGTTGTTTCTTGTTGTAAAGAGATTCAAAATATAAATGGAGGAAACACAAAAGCGTGAGTCTTTTGAAAAAAATCAGCAATGAGGTATAGTACCTAAAAGATTCACAGCTGGAAAAAATTGATACCTAGTACTGTAAAACAGAAATATTCTATAAGTGAAGCTATAACCGCATCGAACTTCGTCGAAATTTTATCTGGTTTCCAAGAGCTTCAAAATGTAAATGAGGAAGTACAGAAGTGTGGGTGGAGAAAAAAGGAGAATAAAGATGGTTATTGGATTTTATTAGGCGAAAACTTAGATGATATAGTAGTAACTCAAGAGGAGTCAGTGCAGGAGTACGAACGGGAAAGGAAGATGATCTTGCAATAACTCAGGAAGATTTAGACAGACTGTTAGACTGAATATAGATGAATGTAATTGAGCTCGAATTTTATGAATTTTGTGAAGCATTTGCCATGCTTTCTGGAAAATTATTAGCACAGTTCTGAAAAGTGAAAAATTGCGAATTTTTTAAGGGAGAAAAAGTGAAAAATCTGTGTAAATTTTATTATTATTTTAATTAAACATTATAATATTATATTAAACATTATAGTATTTTTAAATTACTATTTTACAAAACC